TTTGCTACGCATCAGTTTGGGCGGCACATGAGCATAGAAAAGAAAGTAAGCGCGGCTGAAACCGGCCAATTCTTGACCGGCTGTTCTCGGGAGGAAAAAAAAAATCGAATTTAGAGCCGCAAATTGTGTTCTGTGTAGTTGGGCTCTTATAGATTATGTTCAAATAAAAACCTCGGTGAGCATAAATACTCTGTCAGCGTCCTTTCATAAGAAAACAAATAATTTTCGACTTACATTTATTTCCTAGCACACACACTCAGCAAATATTAGTACGATAGATACACCACCTAAACACATCTTCGTTAAACGTTTCAATGCGCTCTGTTTGTTGGTTTTTTTATACGAATATTTTTGGCTCCCCAGCAGGGCTCGGAAATTTCGTAGATAAGGTCTTTAGAAAATTATGAGTTTTGTGGCGCAAATTACGACACGCAGCTCCTGATACGAAACCTTTCGCATACAAAATTTTCGTGATTGGTTTTCTGGAAAACGCAAGTGTAATCTTGAATTCCTAAGAGAAACGACCAGAAATGGCACAAAGAAGAGCGTTTAAATTTATTTTCGTGTAATGGAACAGTTAACTGCAGTTAGCAACCTGCTAAATGAAGCACACCTAGCTATCCTTAGTACCAGGAATACTCTTAAAAATTTCAACTACTCTTTCAAATCAAATCCATGACATTATCGACATCAAACGGGTATATATCATTTTCTGCACGTTCCAATACACCTAGCAACGAAAATGACATGTTCCACTATTCATTTTTCTCTCGCTCCGTCAAATATTTTTAACAACGTTCCTTTTGAAATAACAAGCTCCAGTTGCCTAAATTAATTTCAACACGAAAAAAAAAAAACATTTTGACGTTGAGTCAAACCTTACTTTTGTTTTCTTGCTTGCAAGTTTGTGGTTTTTGTAAAGTGAAAGAGATTAGTTTTTGTCAAAATTTAGGAGGCCGTCGATTATACTCTGCCACCGCGTTGTGTACGCCCTTCGCACTCTTTTACCATAATATGTTTTGTGCTCGTGTATTGTTTTGTATTGTTAATGAAGTCAATGGTATGCCAATCAGGATCTGAGAGATATATTAAGGTAGTCTCTTTTTACAAACATGCAAATCTAATAACTCAGCCGCAAGAATTCATTCCAAACACTTAAAACAAATGAAAAACTGAGTTAGGATAAATATTGCGTTTTTCATCTTTGTTTGGACGAACAAAGCGTTGCTTTTGTCATTTGCATGTATATCACTTTCTTGTTGTTTCGAGATCTTTGGAAATAAGATATGTGGCGGTGTCTGCGTAAGGCAGCCTAGCTCGCAGCGTCCTCACTTCAAAACTGTAAAATGTCTTTAATTATATTAAAAAAAAAAGTTGCTCCGGATATAATAGAATATCTTACAACTTAACTCAACTTAACACTTTTATCTATTTACTGTATGCCATAAAATTATCTTCTGAAACCTGAATATAATTAGTTTCAAGGTGGAAAAATGTGTTTACCTTCAGATATTTCGACTTTTAATGAAAATTTACATTTCTTTTTTTTTTTTTTTTTTGTATTTAGTCGACTGATGAACGCAGGGCGTAACAATTATTTTATTCACCTTTCTTGCTTCGTGATTCGTCCTTCTGTTTTCTTATCGACTAATGCGCGCGTTTCTTACGATGTTGATGGACTATAAAAATGATAATAACAATACTTGTATTCACCTCAAGAACCGTAGTAGCGTAAAAAAATTTGCTTCTCGCGTAGCATTGCTCACTTACTCCTTTATGTGGCGAGTTAAGATATATGTGTAAGTAAATTCTAGAATAGTTTGTCGTTATTTCATCGAGACCTGCACGTTTAAAACGTCCAAAGCATAATTTCTTCCTCCAAGAACCAAATCTTCTAAGAGCTACTTCGTGCAGCGTATGAATAATGCGCAAAACTACTCTTTTTTGTGACAGCTAGAATAGTTTATATCGGCATTTATAATGCTGCTCGCCTACTGCGGTATTTTGCACCCTTGTCAGATTTCAAGAACTTAGTCTTTACTAAATTGCACAGAATTCGACAATTCCTCACGCAGCACAAACGGCATATGCATCCAGAGACGCCTCGTGTGCGTTTCATGACGCAACGTGATGCGCGGAATAACACAGTCGGAAAGTGCGTTCAAAATAGACCGCTGCCTCTCGGCGTTCCCGTTTAATGGCTTTCTGAAACTTTATAGGTTCAGACACCCGCTGTTTTTGTATTTCTTGTTCTTGAATTGAGAAAACATGAGCGCCGACTTTAGTGGCGACTGAACTTTTTTCTATTCGCGACATGTTTTCTAAACATGGCAGACACCTTGACAAACGACCGTTGGGCAACCCGGCTCAGTGCTCCAAGGTGAAGTTCCTCCAAGTATCTAAAGTATATTACATATAGGAAGGCGTTCTAGGTGTTGTGAAAGATGCCAATCCCGACTGCGACCGTGCTAAAAAACAAACAAACAAAAACATTTCTTTAATGTTTTAGAAAAACAAAACAACCAAACAGTATCCTACATATTGAGAAAAAGCTCAGCACGTAGGAAACGTGCGATTGTCGTGACTTTAACCTCCATTGCGAAGATTATGAACGACGCAGTGCTTTTTGATTCGAGCCGGTATTCGCACGCCACTAGAATCTAGTTATGTAGTTTCTGCGCACGTGCAGTGCCCACACCTGGTGTTGGCAAACGTGGGCTTGTTGGTCAACAGCGCGCTGGTGTATTGGTCGGATTCAATCGAATTCAGTCGCGCTCATTCTTGTTTCCGTGGTCACGTGGCGTTTAAACTATGTGTACCAAATATATTCAAAGTCGTGGGTTACCTAAGACACACATTAAATATAAAGGCTTCGAGGTTGGGACTCTCGCTGCCGTCTAATTAATTAAAGCTTTAATTCGCATTTTCTTTTAGTTTGTTTCGGCAATATAGCGTTGTCTTTTCGGGGACACGAATACCCCGTGGCACTCATAATGAATATAATAATTTATATTTTTGTTTTGTATAACCATGGTGCCCAGAACGCTTCTCGGACTGCTGTGTTTACTGTGTCCTAAACAGTGGTGCCTCGATTTTCGCGTGATGAGGTCATCGACGTATCATGCTGTTGCCTGCTGCGATCCTGGCGGTGTCCGAACAGCGGTGGTAAAGGCGACAGAAGCCTGTTTTGCTGCTGGTCACTCTCCAGCTTGACAGTTCACAGTTCACGGAAGCGATCAGGGCTTGGGACGCCGCGACGATGGCGACACTCGCGTTCGTTCGTACCTTTTGCCGGGTCGTGTACCGCCAACCGCCAGGATCGCTATATCCGACAGCATGACACACCAACCCCAATGATGTCACTCGTGGCCACTTCAGGAACACCTTTGATGTGTGGGCGAGACAGAGCACGCTAAACACACCATTCTTGGACGCTTGCCATGCACCGTAGTCAAACTGCCGGGAGTAGCTCTGGACGTCGGCTTCACTGTAGGCAACCGTGCACACAGGGGAAGCTCTGACTGAAACGGAAGTTCACGCCTGGCGCCGAGTTGGTATAGGGGTGGACGGTCTTCACGTTCCCGTTTGCCTTCATAATTCAGAAGTAATAAGTACGGACGTTCAGCTTAATTGGACCGAGAAACAAAGTCTTACGGCCGGGAAACAAAGAACTTTCCTCTCCCGCGTGAGGTTATTTCGTCAGGACCACATGACACGTCGTGTCCCCAAGCGTCGCTATTGGTTGCAGCGTGTTTTGCTTGTTTGTTTCGTTCACTTAATGTTAGAAATTCCGGCCCCACTGTGTTCAAGCGTGGCCAAGCAGAATATCCGCCTCCAAATGATAACTTTTTTCGTGTTTTTTTGTTCTTTTCTTTAACAGTCTAGGTCGCCAGGCACTAGAGAAGACCGGGCAGTTGAGGAGGAAGAGTGTGACTGTGATAAACGCACGATTTCAGAAGTCAGTGCGTGCAGACAAAAAACGAATTGCCTTATTAGTCCCTGTGCTACTCTCTTGTTTTAGTATTACGAAGAAAACACAAAAAAAAAAACGTTCGTTCGAAACAAATACCTCAATCCTTGTTGTCCTTCTTGTCTTTTTCAGATGAAAAGAATAGCGGATTTTTTTCCAATGATAATTACAGTAAGTGGCGATTGTTTACACACGACGCGGACATAACATTTTGTAAAAAGTGACTTCTGAATTACTTCGTTTGACACACATGTGCAAGCGGGAAGAAAACGGACAAGCTTTAGTTTGAGCCCAGTGAAGGCGCTGTACATACTGTGGCATGTATAACTCGCTAAAATGCCACATTTTTTTTATATATTCGTGTACAATCTGCTTTGAAAGGCTTATTTCATGCCTGCAGTTATCGCTTTCACCACACTGTTCTTTCAGATTTTCGGCAGACAAATTGTAATCGTGAAATTATAAATCTTGATTTTTCAGCGGCTTACTTTGTTAGCGCGCTGTAGAACAATCATATTTCAAGAACGACATTTAAATTTTGAGGTCTTGACTGGGCTGATTTACGTGTTCGTTCTTCTTGTTCTCTTTTAGACTTATTTCAACAGTCTTTTTCTAAACCCATGAAAAAGTATATATTTCCTGAAGGCGTATTCAGATCACTAAAATGTATTTTACCATCACTATCTAAATCACCCGTTCCACAAATACAGCTGCGCATTTTTTTTAATAGTTTTTGTAGGGCAGGTTAGTGAGTGAGGCTTGTAGTATATATACTTCGCAGGCTTCATCCTGCAGCGTGACTGAAAAATGGAACAATAAGTAGGACATTCCGGATTAGAGACGATGTAGCTACTATAGTTAGCAAGTGTGACTGTTACCTTACATATAAGCAGCTCAATTGATCTCATATTCAGCCCTTGCGCAATGTGCTAAGCGAAGTTTTTCACCCCGTGATAGGTGGAGGAACCTGTGTTTTCTTTTTATAGTATTCTCTCTAAAGTGCAACATAGTAACGTTTGCATGAAGTCAGCGTTTTCTGACAAAGTATTGTATTTATTTCCATTACTTCTTTCAGACTTGTCTCACAACTGTATCGGCGAACATTGTCGCAACGTGTGCATAACTGAAGCCTGCGTAAAAGCTGGTAAGTGCCTACCGAAAGCACTCTTTGCTCGATAGTTTACCAACTTACGAGATTGATTTTTGGATAATCATAAAAATATCTTGTCACCATTCCCCTGTTGAAATTATTCATCATCTCAATATATAATGAATATTTAGCGAGTCCATTTACTCACTTATTATTTTAGATAAAGAAATTAGGCACGCACTATAAACCTCTGCTCAAAATCTGCAAAAGGGGTAAGCACGTGCAAAATTGCTTTCCGGGAATTAAGTAAAAAAAAAAAAAAAAAAAAAGAATGCCTTTACACGCTTTGCAAGACTCCAAGTATTTTAGCATCTTGTGTACTTCTAGAACATTGTAGCACTCTTGAACCAATTTTTTACTCGTGTTTAGTTTGTGGATTTTAAGAATTTTAAGCTAGAAAAAAGCGAAGAGAAAACTTACGAAAAAAAAAAAAGCAGCATTATGAGTTCCATAATGGCACATATATACAAAAATAAATACCTGGGCCCAAAAAAATCCAACTTCGCTCTCTTTTTTTTTTTTTTTTTGTGGCTGTTACGTGCACAGCTAACGTTGCCAGGCACGCGGCGTTATAGAAGCACGGACAAATGTTGTTGTTTTTGTTTTGACAATAGATGTCTATTTAATATGTAGTAAATTGTGCAAGTAGTAAGCGGTTTGCCCGCGTGAATGAGAGACGGATCCCTTTTGCCATCTACTCCAAGCTTAAAAAAACGATAATGGAGTTATAACTGCTATGTGGACAGGGACAGTGAGCGTGACGATTTTACTTGTTCGTATTATTCTACTGCACGTCGTATTAGCGAAATTAGATTGTAGTTTATATTATTCTCTGGGATCCTCCAATTTTTTTTCGCAGTGATTGAATATGCCGGCGTTTTCCATAGGAAGGAAACGCTCGTCTTCTTTTTAGTATCTATGAGGAACCGAGCTCAAGGTGAGGAGGAAAAGGGCGAAATGAAATAGAAGAGTAAACTACGAACAGTCAATAAACAATAAAACGTTACCACATTTATTGACTCTATCATCTCAATTAGTGCACGTCATTCTAACTAGTGTGATTTCCTTTCCACCTCTGTCCTCTCCTCCGAGGGGAAAAAAACAACTTAAATAGCGGTAACATTGTATCTCCTACTTTTTTTTTTTAGACAAACTATTTTACTAGTTTTTTTATGCCCTCTAAAGTAAACATATGCTATCTCGCAAAGCCTTCATCTGACCCCATATTTCTTTTGAGAGATCAAAGCATATAAACTGTCCTCGATTAAAAACGAATCCTCCTCAGGCGACAAACAAAATTTATCAATTCGCTGAACATGCACAGCCGCCACCATCTTGCGGAACATGGATCCGAGCGTGGACCCGTGCACGGACTTCTACAACTACGCATGCGGGAGCTGGAAGCACCACCACGTGTTGCCCCCCGACAGGCCGCACTCCGACACGTTCGCCGTCATGAAGGACGAACTCAAGGTACTGCTCAAAGGTAACTTCACTGGCCAAACTAGCGAGAACCGGCGGCCCAGAGGTGCACCGCAGAGTATGCCCCTGCTACACAGCTTTCCCGAACAGCACTCAGGGAACCAGTCACAGTCATCTACAAAGATAGCTTGGTAACAGACGGAACCACGAGCAAATGTTTTGTTGCAGCTTAAAAAAAAAGCAGGACAAGCAGCTCCCCTAAAGTCCTCCACTCCTTCCACTTTAGGAGAGGTAACGCTAGAGAAGAGCTGAGAGAGAAGGCGAGTTCCCTCGCCTCCCCTCCAGCGTTCACTATGCCTAATTGAAAAGAGTGGAGGGCTTCGCTAGAGGAATTTATACCAAGGAAGACATTTCACTCCTCTTGAAAGCGAAATGTATTCCTCATTTGACTCCTTTGCTATAGTTGATCTTGACCAGGATTACATCATAAATAGAAAGCTTTAGCAGAGCGTAAAGACACCCGCGTTAGCACTGCGTACGACCCACGCAAGATCTCAACGGAACGCTGCGGATTGCATCAAACTAGCGCTTTTAGTGGGAAGGAACGCAAACGCATATGAAAGATGTTGAAGCGCCCCCCCCCCTTTCCTCCCCCCCCCCCCCCCCAATCTGGATTTGCATGTGGAAACTACTCCAGGCAATCCAAGGCCTGTATTCGACAAAGCAAATCGGATGCCACGAATCCCATCGCTGCCTAAATGACATAGATCGCTTCCCCTGTGCCGGCTGTGAACGCGCTTTGTTCTTTTTGTTTAACTATACGGTCAGCTGTTTGAGGTATGGTTCGCATTTTTCAATCTGGGGAAGTCTCGCACTGTCCCACGCGTGACGAGTGCAACGAGAAGGGCACGCAGATGACCGCTCCGTACGCACGCAAAAACCGATAGCGAGGCAACGCACGCGTAGCTCGCGGCATTGCGTGCGTATGTTCCATGCGCAGTGTGGAGCACGCAACGCTAATGCAAACGCGCGGTGCTTGCCTTTGCTGCTATGCACAATACTACAATTCTCTAATTACACTGAGTCCTTGCAAAATCGAGCTCTCCGTTTCATTTTTTTCCTTCGGAGTATTGACCCTTTTCTTGTGTCAGAGAATTCGAAAATCGTGCCCAGTTGCAAAATTTGCCATAACGTCGGAAACGTGCGCATATAAACCTTTTTTCGCGAACCTTTTTTTATTAGTACATGCTCCACGATTTTTTTCAGGCACCTTACGTTATGCTTTTAGGACGGCATCACATATATAAAGATAAACGCATCACATGCCATTCATCTTTTTGTGCACACTCATTCATGCCACAAACAGTCGTCGATTGGAAACACTTGCCAGCACAAATATCCATCGAAAATGGTATAACAAAATGTCAGGAACTCGTGTGCAGTAATAATGACATCTAGTGTTTTTTTCACTCGTCTACTCGGGTGTATCTTTTTTATAATATTAATTGGTTTAGCTTGATTTTGTTATTTTGTGTTGCTGTCATATTCCCATTTTTGTTATTTAATATATTTTCTGTATCTTATACCCCCCCCCCCCCCCCCACCCCTTTATAAACTCCATGGAAGGACTTTAAAGTCGGGGTCACACTGTTTATACATCATACACAAGGCTGCCTGCATACAGATTAGAACGCGAGTCACCACGAGATTCGTGCTTCGAATGCCGTACGGCAATAGGTTCAAGGAGAAACATGGCACGCGGCATTCGAACCACGGATATTGCGGTGACTCGTGTTTGCGGACTGTCTTTCTTATGTTGGTATAGTGTGACCCCGACTTTAATGGTATTTAAAAACGAATGGGCGGAATATGAATTCTCCCTACTGAAGTATTTGGCGGAAGAATGTTTCACCTAAAGTATAAGCTGGGCTTCAAAGTAAGGACACATTAGTTTTCATGTTTCTTAAATTATTGCTTCTAATCACCTGAGGCTTAATTTTAAATCACTTCGTTGTTAAAAAAATGTGAGAACAGATCGTGACATAGCAAAACAATGTAACCTGAGCTTTTCGGCAGCTAAAGCTCGGGGAGGCGCATTTTCTAAACGTAACTATCGCTAATTGCGCCCGCTCTCCATAAGGCAACAAACGGGCAACGCTCACAAGGCTAGGTGACGCAAGCTACCGCCCGTTATTAATGGTACGCCATTGGCATCTATCTATTTATCCATCTATCCACCCAGACAAACAATCGGAGAATTGAGTGTCTGTAATCTCAGCGTAGTTTACTATATAGTGGCTCTACTTTCGCCCTCAAAATTGAAGTTTGCTATGTAACACGAACGTGACACATGAAACACTACTTATGACAGCGCTAATCTCAATTTTGCTAGAATAGTTTTCTTTTTCCCCTGAGTTTTGAAGATGAGAACATTGGGGGAGTTATACGTTACTAAAATAATAAAAGACGGACACGACGACAGGTCTTTTAATTTTAAACACACCTTATGTGATAAAAGTTGGAAGGTGATCGAGTTCGTTTCTGTGTTTATTTTTTTCAATAAAGTATACTTTTTTTTGTTTACCTAATCACCTTTTGGTGTTTTATTGCTTTGCATATCGCAGTACTTGGCTCATTGAGTACTCTGGGTACAAGTGGAAGCACGACCTCAGAACGTGGTGACCGAAGAGTCAGCATTACAAATAATACAGACTTTCATGAAATGCAATGCGTACGACCAACTGGCATATCAGGTATCCGCTCTCTGCCATCAAGCCCTCGTAAAGGGCCACCAGATTTCTCTTCAGTGCATACCAGGCCACTGTGGAATCCCCGGAAATAATGCAGCAGACAGAGCCGCCAAGTCAACGATCAGTGCCGATTCAATTCTGATACCTTACTCCAAAAGTGACACCAACTCTAGAGTTCAAACCTTGGCAAAGACAATTTCATTAGGACACTGGATGAACGTAAAAACACACGACCGGAGATTATACTCTCTAGACCCCCAACGAGCCTTTCGCGTTCCATGCGGAGTTTCAAGAAGACTGGAAACAACTCTGCACCGACTGCGACTAGGTGTAGCATATACACCGGAGTTCCTCTGTCGAATAGGACAGAACATCTGCGGGAATAGCACCAGCTGTGAGGTGGAGGGGTCAATTGAGCATATCTTATGCCAGTGTGTTAAGTTCGAGGAAGAACGCCGAACGCTTAAAAAAACATTGTAAAAAATAGATTCGCGTCCGTTTAGCGCTTTTCAAAGTGCTTGGCAGCTGGGACACAACCGAACAGTTTATGAAGGCCACCGAGGCTCTAATACGATTTCTGAGAAACACAGGACTTTCGGACAGACTCTAAATGACTGAGAACTTTATATGAGACTGTTTACATAATTCACTTGATCATAATCATCTTCATTGACAATTTTCACCTCATATTCCTACCCCACTGCTATGTATTTCCTTCCCCCTCTCCCTATCCCCGGTGCAGAGCAGCAAACTAAAATTAACGTTCGGGTTAAAATCTCTGTCTTTCGTTCATAAAGCACTACTACTACCTACTACTGCTATGTGCAGTGAAACAACCAACGTGTCAATTGCTTTGCTACCTGTCGGCGATCTACACGAGAAGAATAGCACCGTGATGGGTGTAATTTATTATAATAGAATATATAAAATAATTTGAATTGTGGCGCTTTACATGGTGACTCAGATGATGTGTGCAAATGTTTTCTACAGATTTAACACGACGCATGGTTTAAAAAAATGTCTGAGATGAGCGACCTATTCTAATCCAGTACCGGCGACGCGCTAATGACAGGTCGGATGACACTGAAGCAGGTCATTTATATTTTATAATGAACTACACAATAATTGTTAAATAAGATTTATAGTTCACTGGAAATATAGAAAATAGACGAAGAGGGATCAAATTGCCTAGATAGGTTACAAACACCTTATGCCTGCTTTGATCAGGTAAGAAAAAATGTAAAAAGAAAATAAAATCAATGATATTCACCTTTTATGCCTGAAAATCAGTTTCAAATAGTCTTTAAGCATAACAAAGAAGTAGTTTTAGGAGGTGCACATAGACAATGATGAGCTTAAGCAGGTCAATCTAGGTAATTTTATCTCAAATTTGCTTGATTACGAAGTGAAACGAAGATGCAAAACCTAGTGCTTGTGAAATGGTAAAGTTAAGGAGGCAATGGAGGAACGTAAGGAAGCTTTTAAAAAATAAAAGTAGATATTTAAGCGTAGTTGGCACCAGAAATAAAAGTAAATAAAAAATGAATACATTTACAAGACGTCGAATGGTGCATTTTGTTTAATCAGTGCAACAGCCAAAAAAAAAAAAAAAAGGAACAAGAACAAAGTTACTATGTAAACTAAAACTTAAAATAAAATCCCCAAAAAAAAGGTTGAAAGAACTTTGAATTAGAAGAGAAAAACGTGGGGCAGAGGCTCATTGGTGGAACTAATTAGTTGTCATCTTGAAGATGATACATCGCTGTAACGTAGAGAAACATTAAAGTAAAAAAAAAAAAATTATTTACGACGCAAGAAATACGGGAGGTAATATAGCAAGGTATATAAAAAAAATATTTTTTGCTTCCTAAGTTTACGAGGGGCATTGACGAAAATAGTTTTATATTTATTTTACAAAGCTTACGGGGGGCATTTAATTTGTAATTTCTCATTTTTTTAATCTGGATTGTGAGCAGGTAGAGTCATGGGACGCGTTTTAATATAAGCGAAATATTATTGGCAATTAGTACGAGGTACATGATAAATGTTAAAGTGAGCAAACGCTCATGACACTTTCTGGTCTTACCAATGTTTCATACACTAATAAAAGAAGACACTCATCCTCAAAGATCAGCGTGTTAATTTTTACTGCGCCTGCATGAGATGAGGGTATTTTGTTCCGTCAAAAATAGTGGCTTAATTTTATCAATTAGAATTTACGGAGGTAGATGCCGCTTTTTCAATACCGGAATCAAACGCCAGTTGCAGTGTTGCAAGCACAGCTGCTCTCTGCCACTGAATAAGTTTTACCTTACCGTATGTGCAGAGCACACGGTGCTGGATATATTCTGGGATAGTGAAAAGGTACACTTATTCACTGCGTCCCAAAAGCAACAACGTGGTGACGACTGCATCCCGTGAAAGAGTTATTGAGAAACCATCTTTTTCCGCACTGGAGTACAACCCACTGAAAAAGGTTGCAGTCGTGATTTTCTGTGGCGACAATTCTTCGGCTCAATGGACGACAGGTCTTCAAAAATGTTCTTTATGGAAACAACTTCGAAGTGGTTTCTCAGGCTCCCAGCCCCCTGAACTCGCAGCCAGTGATACTTGGATGTTTTCGACGGTGAAAGACACGTACTCTTCGTGGTCAAGTGTTTTCAAAGCGCTCCGCGGTCGCCTCAGCAGTATCCCGGTGGTATTGACAAACCCTCAGGGAAGTCTTCACAGCGGCCATTGGGTCGTAGTACAGTGTTCTAGAGAGGTATAGGAAAAAAAGCGGTGGCCGCGCCGTGAGAATTTTCCGCGTTGACGGCGCGTGGAGGCGCTGCAGAAGAATCCCAGAGTCGAGGTGGAGCAAACCGCCGCCCAATTTCGAAGGGTTCAGCCTCATCGACCCAGAGCGCTCCGTCGCCGAAGACTCCCGCAACGGTTGGGTTCCAGCTTTTCGCCCTTTTCGCAACGAGAAACACGTGGGAATATGCCAAAAGAATTTTATTGTTACCATTGCTTCAGGATTGTGCGCTATCCCTCATTGACTATCGGCGTACGTCTTAGAATATACATATTAAAAAAAGTGCTAGTAACTCGTCTTTCGGCGACACCATGTTTCAAGTATGCGCCGAAAAAAAAAATCACTTCGGTAATTGCGATGCGAGCGATTCAATCCTAATATCATGAAGAATGTAATGTTCCTGTAAAGCATTTATGTATAACTTTTCTACCGCTATTCTGGTGCATAATTAGTTTTGGCAGAATTATGATTATGCGTGCTTTACCTTCCATCTGGTAAACAACTGCCGTCGTGGCACTTGACTCAAACCAAGGAGACCGCTTACATCTAGTTGGAGGACACCTCCTGCGGAGATTGACGGCAAGTTCGCATGGGTTCCGTTGTCAGGTTGCAAGAAGAAAAGCAGGCGAAGACTACTGCAGGCTTTCAGCGCTTTCGTCGAGTCCTCGTAGCAGGTATTGGAAACATGGCCCATAAACCACGTGACATTAATCGAGCAGTTGCAAGCACACTAAAATCTAGGCACACTATTTCGCGATTGCGACAAGTTGCGCCATCTTTCGACAAGAGTTCCAAACATGCCTGGCGGCGCGAATCAGTCCTCTCCACCAGCACTATTCAAATTTGTGAAGGTGTTGCTTTGATTTTTCATAACAACAGAGATATGCTTTGAAATTTTAAAAATGAATAATTACCTGCGACAGCTGACCACGTACAAAGGCAAATTTTAGTGGCTAATTTTATAATGACCAACATCGGAGTTAGAGAAACACTAATTGTGTAAAGGGAGATATTGCAAGCAAGGCGACTGGCAGCAGTCTTGGGTAGTAACGCGTTACTAGTAACGCGTTACTGTAACTTTGTTACTTTTTTAGTAACTTGTAACTGTAACGAGTTACTTTTTAAAAATGTAACTTGTAACTGTAGTGTTATTACTTTTTTTTAAGTAACGATGAAAGTAACGACGTTACTTTTGTCGTTACTTTCCGGTGTTTTATGAATAATATATCACTGAACGGGACGGTGCAATTTAGCTATTTCTTGCACTTTCCAAATCGTCTATTCCGACATTTCGAGTGTCAAGTTGGCCTTGCACAAAGTTGTGAAAACGTTCTTTCTCGCGAGTCACGACCCGAGTAAAGCCATGTGTAGATTTTATAAAATAAATAAATAAAAAATCTAGTTATCTTTACGCAGGCGCTTGTACTTTGTGACTGAACACTTACATCTTAGTGTCTTGAAACTCTATCTATGTTGTGTTTTTTTGTTTTGTTTTTTCTGTGCAAACGCTTTTTAATCGGGTGAATGAACCCTTAATCAACAATACACGTGGAGGGCACTGCGCATGTTTCGTATTTTGATTTGCGCCACTATCCTGGCGTGCAAACTTTCAAACACTAACTTGGAGAAGTAACTGCTGCTAAGCTACAATATGATGTAAAAGGCGTACTTTTTAATTTTATGCAATAAAACTTTGTGAAAGGCATTTTGTAGTTTTTTTGTCTAATTTTTTTGTGTTATAGAAAGGCAACTGAAAAGTAACGCCGTTACTTTTTAAAAGTAACAGTAACTGTAACGAGTTACTCTTTTGTTGCGGTACTACTGTAACGGTAACTTCGCTACTTTTTTCTGAAAGTAACTGTAACTGTAACGAATTACTTTTCAAAAGTAACTTACCCAAGACTGACTGGCAGCCGCCATGCCTATGCTTGTGCGGACAAGCCCGTGCAATTGCAAGCTTGCCAAAACTACGCTCACGCGCAAGCTGCACGTGCTTGCGCGCATGGGGCGCTTCTTTTTTCCTCACTATGGGTAGCACAGGTGCTATCCACGCGGTTATGTTTCAATTTTCATAGTGCATAGAAGCTTGGCATTGCACGTGCTCGTACCAGCAGAAAAAGTTGAAATGTCCTCACTCTGGGTTGTGAACAAGTTCCACCAGGCGGCGATATCGGAACTTCTCCTTGCGAATAGCAGTGATATAAGCTCCTTTATTCATGCAGCTAAAAAAAAAAAAGGCGGCAGGTATAGGTAGAGATAAGGGAGAGTGTTCGACGAGGTAATACACGCATATGACAATATGACAAAGGATGGAGGACCATTCACTCTCTGTAACATGCTGTATTGAAGTTGCACACACGCACACAAAAAACTACTGTGGTGCCCTTTGTGTGTGTGTGTGTGTGTTTCTAATGGTGCCGTTTTTTGTTGATTAGATATAAGGAAACGAGGCACACTGATTAGCGTTGATGAAGAAGATGAAACAATGACTATTAAAATACATCCATAGAGCAACAATGTAGTTTAATATGAAAAGGAAATGAGACTGAGCTGGAGAGATAAGGACACCGTTACGTCAAACGAGGTCTGACGTAACGATGTCCTTTGTTGCCTTTGTCCTTTGTTGTGTGGCTGACGAGGCTTGTTGAAAAGGCTGAAGAGTAGTAGTTCTCTTGAACCTCAAGCAAGCACGGAAAAATAAACAATTAATCGTACGCCGCATGCAGGTGATATAATGCACATGACTGGCAACTGAAGGAGTCTGCAGCAATTAATTAACGTGTTTGTACAGAAGGAGTCGAGTGACGTCTGGGTTTCTTCAAAATATTATACGTCTTCGTTCTTTCTTTTTTTTTTAATAAATAGTCTCACGGGCCTATATTGGTCTAGTTTATAAGTATGTATTTCCGCTAAACCGCACCGCAAAAACACACGTGCATTTATTCGAAAAGAAGCTGAAGGAGAGAAACTGAGAGCGTGAGTTGAGGGCGCGAAGCTCTGATTGGAAGGATCGACAAACGCCAGACCCCGTGTGAGGAGCAGATGACGCCTAACACCTTTGTTCGATCTAATGGAACGAAAAAGTGGGTAAGGAGACAATGGTAGGTTGCCTTTATTTCGCTATCCTACCGATCAGTGCTCGGAGCTCTGACTACTTGGCCCTTACGCTCCCATCTCTTCCTATCCCGCAGTTGCTCTCCGTATACGCCAGGAAGCAGCAATCCCATGCAGCGAACGCAGAGGATGAATCGTGTCATTTGTTCCTCTTCTGCTTCTCCCGCAGTAAAACAACTTTCAAGAAGCCCTGGCAGGAAACATCTGGTGTCTTCAAGTTTTAAAAGTCATTTTATGCGTTTGTGGTTTGGTTGAATCAAGATAATATTAATAGGAAACATTTTTTTAATTAGTACTTTTTTTCTTTTCTCTGTCAGACCTCATCTCTATAAAAAAAAATAATAATAACGATATTCCGGATCTTGAATAGGTATTCACGGGGATGCCGATGTGTCGCACCTTGTTCCAGGTTGGAGAGGTTATGAAAGGCAGAGACGTTTACATGTCATAATAAACTGAATTTACGAATTTACAATCACGGGACAAATTTAAGTGGTGATGCTGAAAGCGCCCGTTCGTTGGCCTTATCTGCTAGTGCGCTAGCTGCCGATTAGTGCCACTAAATAAGCTACGCTTCAGAGTAACGACACTTGGCCATATTGTGTCTTAAAATCATGGTTGCCAGTTATCTGAAGCTTTATCTGAAATCACAGGAAACGCCTTTCCGCCCTCCCCAAATGTTTAAACAGTTCGTAACAGAGCAAAGCAATATTGCGTGACCTTCTTAACAACGAATCTAAATCTGAGGAAGTCGCACTTTTGAATCATGACGATCGGCAGTTGCGTCTGCTCTGCATATACGAGCCAAAATGGCGGCGCCCACAACAATGCCGGGGAACGGAGTGCCGATACTCTAAGCGCATCTCACTTAGTGACTCTACTACCGATCTTCTATTCACGTGACACGAGAGAACCTGCTCTCGGTGGCTCGGGGAATGCTTGTCGTGACGCTACAAGGGTCCATTTCTCACGCATAAATGGAGGCTAATAGTTTGTCTTTCTTTCAGAACTCCTGGAGTCTCCAATCGACAGCACAGACAGCAACGCCACGATCAACGCTAAGAACCTCTACGCATCTTGCCTGAATGAGAGTTTGTATTGCGATTCAGTTATATATATATATATACCTTTCATCCGAACTGTAACTTAGAGGGCGCGCTTTATATGAAACGTGCATAGTTTCTTTTAAGAAAGCTTCATAAATGGTGTTTGTCACACCGGAGTCTTTTAATAAGCTACCGGTCGAGAAGTTTCTCCGTAACGGAGAAGTTTCTTGACCAGCAGCTATAAACGGTATGGGAGAGCTTGGTAAGAGGCCACGCGTTGAGCTAGCGTGGACAAAGGGGCCAGGAGCCGCCAATCTAGCCGGGACCGCTGGAAGTCTGGCAACCAGAAAGTGGGATCGGAATTTCAAATCCACTTTGAACAAGCCACCAATTAGCGGTGAAATGTTTCGGTGGCGCCCTCGTTTGGTTACCTTTCGTGACGTCATTACCCTGTGAACAACAATTTCGATGGTGTTTGTAATGGGCATGGTGGAAGCCTGAAATCATTGCGCTTCCAAAACAACACTGCCCACACCGTCAAAATTGAAGTTCTTGCATTCCTTTTATTTCCGTCGATGAGAAATCCTTTGTTGACGTCATAGTCAGCATTCGGCCAATTGGGATGGGCCTACCACAGCGACGCTTTCGATCGCTCACGTCGCTAATAGACGAGTGCAAGCTTAGCGTCCCGACTGCTGCCCCATGGGTATCAACACGCGTAGCGTGCGCATGAACGTGGCCTTGACAGGCTTGCAATAGCATGTGCTTGCCCGCACGAGCAGAGACATGGCGGCGGCCAGATGCCCTGCTTGCAATGGTCTATACACCTCGGTGACGCTTCATCGCACGGACAGTGTTACTTTTTGATAGAGGCGTCTACAGATCTCTACACTCAGTCGATTGATCAAACTTTCTTTTCAAGCTGCTACTAGCTCTAATATAATATCACCCTGTATTCCTTCTCCTTGCCTCAAAAATGAATTCTTCTCAATACCGCTATCACCGTCGAAATTCAGAACCGCGACTAGCGGCATCAAGTAGAGGCAATGCGAACCCGTACATTCAGTTGCCTGACTCGTTTTTTCTCTAAAAACATTGTTTTCTTCGATAAAAAACGTAAGAAGCGTATTTGTAAGTCATGTTGTTAGAGATCACTAAGAAAGCAGACGAAAAAGGTGAGCGAGTCACTAGCGGCAGGTTTGCAGAATGCCTTTATTTATCACTTTTTTACCGCTATTCTGGTGCATAATTATTTTGGTAGAATAATGATTGCACGTCCTTTACTTTCTATCTGGTCGACAACCGCCCCTGTGGCACTTCACAACAGAGGGAGTAACTTAAACCAAGCAGAGCGCTTGCACCTAATTGGAGGACACCTTTTGCGGAGATTGACTGCAAGTTCGCGTGGGTTCCGTTGTCGCGCTGCAAGAAGAAAAGCAGGCGGACACTCCTGCAGGTGTTCATCGCTTTCGTCAACTCCTCGTAGGTGGTATCGGAAACATAGCTCATAAACCACGTGACGCCGATTGAGCAGGTGCAAGCACACTAAAATCTCGGCACACTCTTTCGCAATTGCGGCAAGTTTCGCCATCTTTCGACAGGTGTTCCAAACATGCCTGTCGGCGCGAATCGATCCTCTCCACCAGCACCATTCAAAGTTGTGAAGATGTTGCTTTAATTTCTCATAACAAGAAAGATATCCTTTGAAATTTTATAAGCTAATATTTTAACAAACAAACTTAACAAAATGTTGTTCCGCGAGAAATTGCTTTTCCAAAACTACTTGGCATCGCGAATATTTGAGGTGGCTCGCTGAGATAGGGGCAACAAAACAAACACGCCACCTCTGGAACTGTGGCGCCTCTGGCGGCAGTGTTTGACCCTGTACCAAAAGTTTGGCCGAAGTTTCGAGGCCAGCAGCGTATTGAAGGAATCCGGTAACACCAACGAATGACGAATTGTATAACCCTATACCTATATTTTGAATTATTTTCTGTAAAATATCTCATTCATAATGTCATTCAGCTACTTACTCTACATTCTAAGAAATGCCTGCGCGTTTACTTATCCACCAAACACTCAAAGAGCCAATCTCTGTGATCTACGAAATCAGTTCAGCGATTGATGAAACGGATCCATGAAAAGCATCATGCTTGCATTGCGCAATGCCAAAGCGCAGACTTTATTTTGAGGTCTAAACAGATGTTCCGCCTCATCATTCGGTGAACCGATTTCGTAGATTGCAGAGATTGGCTCTTCACGTGTTTTGCGGGTAAGTAGAGTGTAAGATACAGAGCAAGTATCCATCCAAAATTTGAAAATATTCTTGAAAAAAAGAACGTAAAAACAAATCTAGGAGATGAGTCCAAAAGCAAAAATGATGAAGGGGCAAATGATACTTTGGGCTTCACCGCTTTGCACGCGGGTGTTGAGAGAAGTGGCTGGCCAGAAGGGTTATCTCGGTTAATTAGGTGAACTCGGAAGTTTGAGGTGGGCGCTTGATATGTCTTCTGCCTAGTCTTTACATTTATTACTTGGTAGTTACTATGACTTACACGAAGCACGTTTATGTCTTTAGCTTCGAACCCGTCCACTACGTTGGAAAGCAAATTTAAAATGATCAAACGTAGTACAGGGTACACCGAACGTACACAGAACACCGAACTGTGGCTCATCCCGCGGGAGTGCTATCCCGGTGGTCACCGAACAAGAAATGCTCCATGACGTAGGGAACAGCCCGAGCAGGAAAGTCCGCCCTCTCAAATCGAAATCGCAGCCGGAAAAAAAAATGGTTTGCTCTTTATGTTTATACAGCCTTGATGGAGATGCGCCTCAACGGGTAATCGGTCTCTTAGCTGTAGATGAGAAATTTAGCCAGTGCAGTACAACCGCTAACCTGGGGTTTTTAACGTGCATCACGCAGTAGTGAGAATCGGACACGAACGCGTGCCGGTACGAAACTCACCCAGATCGAAACCAGGATGTTCCCAGCGCAAGCTTTCGCTCCACGCTCCGATCCGAGACGCGTTAGCCCACTCGGAACGCCGACGAGGCATTTTTAGCAGCCACCTATGCATCGGAGTTCAGGAGGACGGCAAAAAGCGTACATCGCCCGGCTTCGAAAATTCCCCGCGTTGTCCCCGGTTCAGCCGCGATTTCGGCATTGAACGAGCAGCCTTCCCTTCTTGGGCCCTTCCATTAAGCGCCACGTCATGGAACAGTTCTTTGGCTGCCACCGGATTGCGTAGTGCTCCCGCGAGAAAAGACCCCGTTCGTGTGCTCTTGATACGAAAAGAAACTGAGGGAAAGAAGGAGCGAAGAGTGTGCGAACACGTCGGAGCTCGAGCTCTGATTGAGTTATCGCACACTCTCACCTCCTACTCTCTTTCAGCTTCTCTCCGTGCAGGTTCGGTGAGCGCCGTAAGGTCGTTCCCAGCTGCCTTCTCTTTCTGTCATGACTTTCCCCAAACGCTGACTCGACGCTGTTTCTCAGCCGTGATCGAGGCTCGTCGCGAGAAACCCCTGCTGAAGCTCCTGGACAGCCTGGGCTCCTGGCCCGTGATCACTCCCAACTGGACCGGCGACGACTTCGACTGGCTAAACCTGACCGCGGTGATGCGGCGGCACAGCAACGACATCCTCTTCGGCCAGTGGGTGGGCGCCGACAGCAAGAACTCCACCGTGAATGTGATCCACGTGAGTACCGTGACTACGACGCTTCGACATATACTCACGTGACGGAAATAATAAAAAGGCCATGCACTTGGGCCAGAGTACTCAGTTTTACAGTAATTCCGACCGCCGCCGACGGTATGCGAGATCTGACGGAGCTAATCAAGCGGTGTCAAAACCGAATCCTCATGGCGCTCCTTGTCTTTGTTCATTCGCTATCTTCTGTAAAAACAAAAACCCGCAGAAAACTACAAAAAGAAATACAAGATTACGGCACCTTCACTGTGCGTGATTTCTTTTAGCCGGTGATTACAAGTGTACAAAGACGACGAGCGCGGTAACAATGCACATTTTTGCCGCTGCATGATTGGAAACATCGGATGCTAATGTTGGCCTGCGGTCGGACATAATGTAGAATTGTGTATTGGCGACGTGAGCGATCGAAAGCGTCGCTGTGGTCGGCCCACCCTAAATGGCCGAAGGCTGACTATGACGTCAGCGAAGGATGTCTCATCAACGGAAATAAGAGGAATGTACGAACTTCCATTTTGACGCTGTTGGCAGTGTTGCTTTGAGAGCGCTATGATTTCGGTCTTCCACCATGCCCATTACAAACACCATCGAACTGTTGTTTACAAGGTAATGACGTCACGAAAGGTAACCAAACCAGGGCGCCACCGAAATATCTCGCCGCTAATAGGTGGTCATACATTATAGCAAATAAAAGGGCTAAAAAAAAAAAACACTGACAAGTCTAGAATAATTATGATGTCTGGTGTGCGCTCTTGTGGTGTTCGTAACTTTTCTACTTACTCGTCGTTTTTTTTGTTGTTGTTTTTTTTTGGCGCTTTTTATTTTTTACAGTGACACGACGAGGGAAGGCTGAATGAGGGGGGGGGGGGGGCGTATTATTTTTAGGAGCAAATTATTAATTGCAAAATGTTACCCCGACGCTCGGATCCGTGAAGAAACTGCAGGCACACTGGTTTGATCACGCCAAATTATAGCGATTTATGAGTATTGCGGCCTACGGCGCAACTCACAATGAAACAAAGGGGAAGGTTGTTTTTCTACAACGCCGCAATTGAAGTTAAACCTATTGCATCGTTTTCTTTTTTTGCTTTGCTTTTTTTATAGCGGATCTGTTAAAGGCTAGTTTCCCCATTTTCGTGTCCGTGGACAAATAAATCTCGACACAACCCTTTGGACAGCAACCGCCATCTATTAATGACGGCGGCAACCAGACAACCGGCTTTCCGGTTGTCTGGTTGTCGCTTTCGTTTATAGATGGCGGCACATAGTACAGCTCCGCTGCTCTTCCTTCACCCTGCAGAGTGGAAAGGCCTAAAAGTTTTTTTCTTTCTCTCTAAAAAGGTTTTTTCATTATTATTATTACGTCGGCTTTAATTTGTTTTCCTCGACAACCAAATACTTATATTTCAAAATTCTTAAGTTGAAAAACTAAAGTTATTTACAGTTTAATAAATGCGGGGTGTGATAAATCCCGACCTTTCTCTAGCTCAGCAGCCATTGAAATTAGACAACCGCTCTAAAAAAAAAAACCTGTGCGTCTACTTTCCCGCACAACACTGGGAGAGCCAATCACCGCAAACTTACGGAGGCAGCTCAGCGAATTACGATGCCGAAACATATGTTTAGGCCAAGAAACGCAGTCTGAGTTGTGACATTGAGCAATGCAAAACGTCCCGCTTGCATTGCTTAATGTCACAACTCAGACTGCGTTATTTGGTCTCAACATATGTTTTGGCATCGTCATTCGCTGAGCTTCCTCCGTAAGATGCGGGGATTGGCTCTCCGAGTACTATGCGGCAAGTAGACACACGGACTTTTCTTAGAGTGTAGAACGAATAAAGCGAGAAGCATAAACATATAAGGCAACACTCGGTGTTTCTCCAGCTGCCAGCGTCTGAATCCTATTACAATCACTATGTGCTTTGTGTTTTCTATCGCCTCTTTTCTTTTCACGTAGTGAAGCGCTAAGGCTGAATTTAACTTCGTTAACCATTAACAAAGTTAATATGTAAAAATATTAAAAAATTAATAACTAGAAATGTTGATTTTTACAAACTCCCGGATGGTGCAAGTATGAGATTGAGAACTGGTGCGGTGAACATTAGCTCCCCCTCATTCCAGTTGGACCAGGCGGAGACGGGGCTACCGAGCCGGGACTACTACATCCGGGGAACGCAGCAGGTGGAGGCCTACTTCCGGTTCATGGTGAGCATAGCCCAGCTGTTGGGAGCCGAGAGAAGCTTCGCCAGCCAGGAGATGGAGGACGTCCTCAACCTTGAGGCCAGGCTCATCAACGTGAGTTCTGGGGCGCCTCCTTTAATCCCCGTCTTTCTGTTTCGCATATTCGCCGCCAGGCCGCGCGAACTTTTGCTGCGCTTTGCTAGAGGAAGTAAGCGTTGACTGCTTTGGAAGCCGGACCTGGAAAATACCCTTAGGAGCGGAACAGACGTAGTCAATGTGAGCTCCTGCACGACCAACACAGACGCGCCAGTAATAGAAAGGGCCGCGCTTGCAGTGTGTGCAGGTAACAAAAACGAGACTGGAACACTGGTGGCTTATTCTTGAAAGTAGTAGATAATACTTTTAAGTTTTATTTTAGAACCTCAGCCGGGACACAAAGTTTTTTTTTTTTTTTTATCTTACCCGATACGAAGTGAAAAGCCGCCTCGTCATCGTCATCATCGTCATCATTATCATCATCATCGTCGTTAATGTGGCGTTGTATACAAGTTGCCAAATATCCCACAATTTGGGAACAGCGCGCAGAATACTGAGACCAGTCGGAAGAAGTAGAGTAGGACCGCCTGCCTCCTCCGCTTAGTGTCAGTCCTTTGAGCGCTATTTCCAAACCGGCAATAACAAATCCTTCTAGTTAAGGGCGAAAGGTATGACCAAGACATGGCGGAGAACATGCAACATTTTTGAAGTCATGTTGTTTTTGTTTTTTTTATTAAAAAAGGTAGGAGAAAGCGCACTACGGTGTTCCATCTTCAAACTGAAGTCTTGAATAGCCGCATTTTTACGACAGCTGACAGTCCCAAACGAACTGAGACGAAACTTCACGGCGATGTACAACAAATGGACTGTGGAGGAGCTACAAGAGCGCATTCCCCTGGTGAGTGATATTTCACGCACGTCACTTGGCGTGCACGGTCAATTCTAAGCTTGCGAATTGTTTTAGAACGTACGAGCCGCAGATTGCCGTCTCGACCTCGACGCAACGTGATCATGAACGACCAATGATCAAAGGAGATTCTGTTTGCGCGACAAGAGAAACATAAACGACGTTTCCCAACTTTTTTTATTCAGCACGCTTCGCGATCCACTAAAAATGGCTTGAACGAAAACATCACTAAACCCGACGCTTTGTGCCTTCTTTTTTTATTATTATTAATCCACACAAAATGGCATTAGTTTAACGATGTAAATACCGTAGTAATAATAGTACACATCCTTGAAAGCGACTGGCGTCCGACGTGGTTTTTGCGTGTAAGCCCGCGCAGTCAAGGTAGCCATGATTGATATATGCCCATGATATAAACTTGGTTTCACCGTAAGTGCGAGAAAAATAGTAAGCTGGGCATGGATTAAAAGTTTTAACCCGATTAATCGCCACCACTTAATCGAACAATCCGCCTTGTTAATGCGAAATATTTTATAATCAATCAATCTCTCTCTCTCTCTCTCTCTCTCTCTCTATATATATATATATATATATACATACATATATACATACATATATACATACATATACGTGCTTCATTCATATCAAAATTGTATATTGCGCTGTTTATTAAAACCCCAAAAGGCAAAAAAAAAACTATATATATATATATATAGTTTTTTTTTTTTTGCCTTTTGGGGTTTTAATAAACAGCGCAATATACAATTTTGATATGAATGAAGCACGATGTGTGGTTGAGAACAGTTCATAGACACTTGCTTTCACAGAATATTACTTGAGCTACACGAGGCAAAGGAGTTCGTTGATATTCTCCGGCAAGAGGGACCTCTTTTGATTGTTCACACTAGTCTTTGTTGAACTAAACGAACACTTGCATGGCATTGAAGGGGCCGGGATACGTGTAACCGTCTGCACTTGTCAGGAGTTACAGGCCCTGCCCTTGCAGTTTAGTATAGAATAAAATTTTACCTAAAGTTTGCCTTTTATACAAATGTACTTGTCCGCGCCCGCGTACTGAAAACGTGTTATTTTTTACTTTCTTTTTGTTCGTTAAAGTTTTACCAATTAACGGGGCTTTAATTGATTGATCGGTAGGTTAATCGATTTATTGCCCGCCCCAAATAATAGTAGTAAGCATCTTTATTCTACCCACGAGGGTTGAAATGCACTAAAAAGGTAGGGTGACCAGACGTCCCGTTTTGGCCGGGACAGTCCTGTTTTTGAGGTCCGCTTCTGCCGTCCCGTCTTTTTGTGCCCATAAGGAATCATAAGGAATCATGTCCCGTTATCGGAGGAGTGCATAGTTTCGAAATTGGCACCAAGCCAGTTGAAGCAAACCGAAACGATGCCTACTTATTACAGTATATTTTACAAAAATAACCCTAGGTACTTTAATATTTTAGTTAAGCTAGCACGTGCACCTCGACCGGAAATGGCTGTACGCACGACGCGAAACTTGGTGGGGCTCGTAAAGAACGAATAATTACAAAGAACTTAAATTCGAAATAAAAAAGGTAGCGTAGCATAGTGGAAAGGTGCCTGCTTCATACGCATTGAACCAACCAGGTTCAATCCACAATGTGTGCGTACATTTGTTTTTGAACATTTTTGTTGTCGAGAATTTGGCGATATTTACGTTTCATTTTTACAATTAACACTGAAAAAAAAAAACTAATGTTGTCGACGAAACTTTGCTGACCTAAATAGTATGGGACTTCCTTTCCGGCGGATTGGGTTTGCTTGGGTTGCTTGTTGTACGGTGAGGCCAACTGGGTTAATAGTTTTGCATTGAGCAGCCGCATACTGTTGCCGTGAAGCGGCGTGAACTCAGGCGGGGGAAATTTACCCAGAGAGGAAAATTTAGTGCAATACGTTGACGTTTTGAAGAAACATCAGTTATTTCATTAACTTTTTTTCTCCCAACCTCAATCTCTAATACAACCCCCCCCCCCCTCCCCCCCCCCCCCCCCCCCCCCCCCCCCCCCCCCCCCGGTTGGGATGCCCCGTTTTCCACATTGAGGAATATGGTCACCTTATAGAAAGGTCGAAGACCTCCATAAGTAAGTCTGAAATAAAAATAAAATATTAATATTATTATGTTTCCAAACTAACTACATGCTTGATTCACAATAGTCACTGATAGGATGAGAGTGGCATGGCATATCTATCGAATGTCTGGCCTCCAGCACCCAGCCATTGCCTTCCACTGTGCATTGGTCGCGCGTGCACGCTCGAGGTTCACGAAACTCTGAAGCGCCATCAAAGCTATTGGCCTCGAGATCGACCTAGAGGTGGCGCTACGGTCCCGCTATCATCATCATCAAAGCGGGGATAGGAGAACGGCTGCCCCATAGGCTCTCCACGGTCACGCGCGAGACGGCGTAGATTCTTGCGTTTATTTTGTCGCATACTGTCGTTGGGAAAACAATTTTAGCGGAAAAGGATGCAGTACTGTTCGGTGCTTCAGTGAAGATCGAATCTTGTAGTCAGCGTGCCGCCCAAATTTTTATAATCGCTTCTGTGGGTGCGCGGTCTGCTCTAGGCAGACGTTGGAAAGCATGGAACACCACGACTGAACTGCTATATATATATTTATTTAGCCGGAATATTTATGAAATAAATATTCCGGCTGAACTGGAATATTTATGTTAAATATTTGTTTCTTTTAAAATGGATGTATCGGTCCATCAACGCGGGAATTTAAAAAAAAAAATAATAAATTCCATCCCAGATAACATAATACTGGTACTGTGGGCTGTGAAATCGCAGCTTCTATGCTTTTTTTTTTAACGTCTAGCTTTTGCAGTAATATAAATATTTAGAATGAAAATAAGTTAGCGCTGTATTGGAAATTATCATGCTATTGAGTTCCTCTGTCCTTTTACTGTGCCATAGTGTGGGTAAATGTTTTGGAGTCTGAACAAATCAACTGCGTTGCGATGAGGAGAGAGTGCCTCTTCTAGTTAAGATCTGCAAACTGCACGGTTGGCAGGACAACTGAAACAAGTGGAACAAACTGTTCTAATATATCTGCCGTAACTGTAATAAACGAGTGTAACCGAGCAATGCAACAATGTTCCTATAATTAAATGCTTTTATTTATTTTTTATTTATTTATTTACCCTAAGGGCCCTTTCGGGCATTACATAGGGGGGAATTTTTAACACTAATATGAGAAGCAATACAAACAATGAGCAAATAGCCGTAACACACGGCGAGCAACGAAAAGAAAAAAAAAAAATAATAATAAAAGATAAAAGCCACGAAGCTACAATTCAAAGTTGTCATGGCAAAGCAAAGCATACAGAGTGATAATGACTTAGACTTTTTCTAAGATAAAAGAAATCAAGAAGCCTAAAAATGTTTGGTAATCTTGCATGACTGCAATGTTACTTGGTAATGCGTTCCATTCATTTATTGCAAGGTTCAGCGGGGAGTATTTGTATAAGTTAGTACGTGCAAATACTGAATTTACTTTGTTAGGATGATCAAAGCGGGGAAAAATGCGAGTAGCGGACATAATGTGCGTTTGACGGAAAGATGATGAACTATGGTAGATTTTATGAAATAACGAAAAACGTGCGATTCGCCTTCTGGTCGCGAGGGGCATTAAATCTAATGATTCTTTGATACGGGTGATGCTACTAGTAGGAGAGTAATCGCGTGCTATAAACCGGGCTGCTTTATTTTGTAGTGACTCCAGACTGTTAATTAAGAAAGCATGGTGTGGATTCCATATCACTGAGGTGTATTCCAGTTTGCTTCTTACAAGAGATGTATATGCCATAAGTTTCGTGTTAGTGTCAGCCAGAAATAAGTGCCTTCTCAAGAAACCTAATATTTTAGAAGCATCACTTAAAGTTATTTCAATGTGGAGGTTCCATGAGAGGTTAGGTGTTAAATGAATTCCTAGATATTTATATGATTGAACCCTTTCAATATCTGTATTGTTAATTTTATAAGTATGTTCGGTTATCTGTTTTTTTGTAGTGAAAGTCATGCATTTAGTTTTCTTTGTGTTAATCTGCATTTGCCAATGAGAACACCACCTTGAAAGTTTCTCGAGGTCAGCTTGAAGTAAAGCACTGTCAGAGGGAGAGGTTATGGTCCGATAAATGACGCAGTCGTCTGCGAAAAGCCGAATGGTAGAAGTAATGTTGGTATGAATGTCGTTAATATAAAGGAGAAAGAGTAAAGGCCCGAGGACAGAGCCCTGAGGAACACCAGATTTAACGGAGACAGGAGGAGAGACAATGTTATCTATAACAACACACTGGTATCTATTTGAAAGAAAGCCTGAAATCCATTTAACGATGCCTGCTTCTATCTTTGCTCCTCTTAGTTTATGTATTAGTCGTTTGTGAGGGACACGGTCGAAAGCTTTTGAAAAGTCAATAAATACTGCATCAGTGCTGAGGGATGAGTGAATACTAGAATGAAGGTCAGTAACTAGTTCAAAAAGTTGAAGTTCACAGGAGCGTCCTCGTTGAAATCCATGCTGATTTTGAAAAAGAAGATTGTTAGTCACTAGGTGATTCATTATCTGAGAATATATAATATGTTCAAGCAATTTACAAGATACGCAAGTTAACGAAATAGGCCTGTAGTTTGTGAGAGAACTAGGGTTACCGGATTTAAAGATGGGCACAACATGGGCTAGTTTCCAGTCGTCTGGTAACGTGCAAGTTGATAGTGACTGTTCGAAAAGCGCTGCTAGGAGGACGCTGGAACAATCTTTAGTTAGTTTAAGTAGTTTAGTACTTATTCCATCTGGACCAGGGCTCGAATTAGTGGGAAGACGGTCTATTGCACAGGCAACACCCTCACTCGTAATAGCGAAAGGGTTCATTTGAGCGGTCACTGTAGCCATTGGCATATTAATATCGGTTAGAGTCATCTCATCTGTGAATACGCTAGCAAAAAATGAATTG